GGAGATGATGCATCCCGAAACAAAGTTCAAGATCCAAGAAGCAGGGATAATGGAGGTGAAAGATGCCGCAGATAGGGCGGATATGATTACTGAAGCGTACAAGAGCTTAAGGGAGAGCAGAGTGAGAAGCGAGGCGAGACGCGGCAATGGCAGTCCCAATGGAGTCTGGGGAGGAAGAAATTATGAAAGACCCAGAAGAGTCTGGGGTGAGAAAAATTTTGATAAATGGGCAGATAAAAGTAAGTACCCTAAAACTCAGAAGAGTAGGTCGCGCACTTCATCTGAAAGTGAGGATGGAGGAGCCAAACGAGAAACTAATCGTGATCCAGGGAATCAAGAGTCCAGTAAAGCCCCACAGAGTGCAGGTAGTGTGCCTGGCCCTAGGAACTCTCATGCGAGTGGACAAAGTCAGAGCCACTCTGGTTCTTATAGGAGAGATTTTTCCCAGATGAGATGTTACAATTGTAACGGATTGGGTCACGTGATGCGAGATTGTAGGCAGGGCAAGAGAGTTGTGACCCTGGCCATGTGTGACCCCGGAAGTAAATATACTAATGTGTTCCGAGACAAACCACAGAAGATGAACTTAGTGAACGAGAGGTATAGGCCGTTCATGAGCAAAGGTTGGATCAGGATAGGAAGCCAACCTGAAGTAGAAGTTGGTATCTTAAGAGATACCGGAGCTAATCAGAGCTTGATTACGAGAAGCCTGATTGGGAATGATCGACGGTTAGCTGGCAGGAGTAAGATGAAAGTATATGGGTTATTGTCTGAGAGTGACATGCCCGTTTGTACTGTCCAGCTAAGGTCGGAATATGTGTCGGCGGAGGTGATGTTGGGAGTATGCCCCGACATACCTATTCCAGGAGTCCAAGTGATCCTGGGAAATGACTTGTGTGGGACAAAGGTGTTGACAAGAGTCATGGCGGAGACTGTGCCAGAGGAGTGCCCAGAAGGCCACGGCACGGGTGGGACACCTGAGAGTGTGAACCTGACTGACATCCGAGGAGATGCGTCAGGAGACCGCCAAGCCATTGAGTACCCTGTCTCGGTAGTGACGAAGGCAGAAGTGGCCGACGAGGAAGACACTGGAGAAGGTGAGACAGTGTCGATTCAGCCGGTGGAAGAGATCGATGTAGATATAGCACGGCTATTTGATGAAGGTCCAGCCCAGGAAAATGAAGTCTTGGTGAGGTCAAAAGTGAGGATGACCCAGCCGAAGAAGAATCATGTGAAGAGAGCGGACCTGAGTAGAGCCCAGACTGCTGAAATTAAGAGTCGGAAGGTGAATGCAACTGTGCTGAGTAGGAATGAGGGAAGATGTGGACATACTGAGGACGGGAGTAGAGCGTCACGTTGTCCACGAGCACAGAGGCATAAGGATAGTGGAGTTAAGTTGTTTGAGATGTCAGGAGTTGACATGTTTCACAGAAAACGTAGAGTAGAGATAATGAAGAAGAGTAATAGCCGAGAAAATGAAAGGAGAAGAGACAGTATGTGTGGAGAGATGCTTACGAGCACTTTGGGAGAGGCAAAGCGACATGTATGGTCGAGTGCTGTTGGATGTAGTATAGTGCCCGAAGAAACTTTTAGGGAACGAAGAAGAGTCGAAGGAGAAGAAATGGAGTGGTATAGAAGTGAAAAGTGTAGGAAGAGGATGATGATGCAAGCATGGAGGGATAGAAGAAAGCCGAGGACTCGATGGAAGTCAGACAGGATGAGATCTTGGATAAATGCGGAGATGCAAGGGAGGATCGTCGGTGAAGACGAGGAAGTGAAGTATGATGACAGGAGGCGGAAGTATAACGGCAGTAGATGGAAGTGTGAAGACGACAGAGGAGGTACAGACAGTAGATGTCTGACTCTGGACGTGAAGAGAAGAAGACGAGGAAACGGAGGGTGGAGACAATAAGTAGAGTGGACCGATAGAGTGCAGGCGTCCAAGGAGGACAGCCTAGCCAAGAGGTGCCAGAGAGGTCAGATTATTTGTGAGAAGAACATGTTCCTGGAGAGTTGTGAGCCGGATGTTGCAAGGTGCAACGAACTAATTGTAGACTCCTAAGAGAGTATATGGGGTGAAGAACGAGACAGTGTGGTGGCGGATGTATTATCCCGAGCTTTGCCACTGGAATAACTCTCAAAAATAAGGGGAGGGGAGTGTTATGATCTCAGCCTGCAGGAGAAACGAGTCTCCCTCCTTGAGAGTTATTCAGCAAGCCTGACCTAACTAGAAGGTCTAGCAAATATTGAGGTGATAACCCATATGAAAAATGGTATGGTGGATTCAATGAACAATTTAAGATTATGGGCAATGAAGAAGAAAACAGATAAATGACTGGCTAGGAGATGTGGACATTTTGCTGGAGGCGTGAGGCTCGCTTCCGGAGGACCTTGACCTCACTTGAGTGCCAGACATCGCAGGGGGTAGCCGCGCTCCGTTGAGCTCCCATCAGAAGGGAACCCCTAGTGATATATCTCGAAGAGAAGAGAAGTGTGTAGACGTGCCAGCTGTGGAACCGAGCTGGGAACGTTGTGGTCTCAAGTCCTGGTCGAAGAAGAGAGTATCAAGCCGGCCAGAGACATTATTGTGGGCCGTGGGAGCGCCCTGACCAGACGCCGTCAGAGGGAAAGCGCCCTCGACCAGCCGATCTGTGGTAAGCACGATATACGCCAGTTCATAGTGATCACTTGTAGTTGGTCGTGTGCCCAGCGACAGTAGCAATGTTTATTTATAAGTTAGACATGTTTTAATAAGGCAGAAGGCCTGAAATAAGAGAGTGAAGAGGGAGGAACACGGAGCGACGTCCGTCCCCTCTGAGCGCTGGCGGACGACTGAGGGAGCCTGGCTCCGGATGTAGGAAGACCCTCCCAGCGAGTGAGGACCGCCGCCAGGCGAGGTGGAGTATGGACCCGCCCAAAACGGGGGAGTCCACTCTCACTGTATGTAGAGGACAGATAGAGGTTTGAGGCAAGCATATTGTGTGGTTATTTTTGTTTATGTGTTAAAGGGGAACATTTTATTGGAGTGTCGATGGGTTGCAGGTTTGCCTTTGGGGAAGAAGTTGCTGAGAACTTCGAAGCCAGCAGATGATGTAGCTGATGAGACTCCAAGGTAGTGGAGCAGAGGACCTCGAGCTGTGAGGAGAAGCAGCAGTGAAGAGGAGTGTCACGTGCTTCTGTAGAGGTGGTGTAGCAGCCAAGAGAGCTGTGGAGGAACCTAGCAGAAGGGTGAAGCACCGTAGTTACTCAAGGAAACTTCATGATAGCAGCCTGGAGGAGCTGCAGAGGATCCTGGTAGTAAAGCCCGGAAGAACCTAAGGATATTAGGGTTGTGAACTTCCAGAGGTGGAAGGGGAAGTTCTGGTGGATTACTTACAGGGAGTTGATAGTGTTTGGTTGTCAGTAGCGTGCAAGACGCAGTGAGAGGTGAGTGACTGTTTGCATTCTTATGTCAAGGAGTGATTTATTCTGAAGCTTAGAGTTGCAGTCGTAGGCTTGATTACCTACAGATGTATGTGCTCGGGGACTGACAGTGATCGATTAATCATTGTTGTGTATCAGTGAACATTTATACTGATATATGTTATTGCATCCAAATGCTGATTTTCTATATATACATTATCTTGCTGATAGTGCAACAGTGTGTAGGCTTGACCAACTTGAGGAGGTTAATAGTATCAGGTGGTGAACCAGGAGATAGGATACCACTTGATAAGCTGATAATAGAGTTCTGATGGTATTGGAGTGCAACCTGATTGTGATATTATAGAGTATAGGATTCATTATTATTATATGTGTGTATGTATCGTGTATGTGCTTTGTTCAGTAAATGTGTCACAATTTGCTGGTGTTTGCCCTTGTCCTAGTGAGGCTTCCCAGGAGGTAGTAAAGAAGGAGAGAGAGAGAGAAAGAACCATGAACCACTGCTGTGGACAGGGTAGGAGGTAATACTAGTAAGTCATAGGGGGATTGAGGAGATCATATCTCATAAGGAGAGAGTGGGGAGTCACTGCGGCTCGAGTGGGTGTGTGCACGTGACAACGAGGTTAAGTGTTGGAGCCGCATCCCCTGAACGTGTGACGTTGAGCCCCTCTCCAAGAGCCAGAAGCGCCAAGGGTGATCTCCTAGTATAAGCACTCTGCCGAGTTGTGGGTTGGGTTGTCCATAGAGAAGGATCAACGACGACAACACCAACCAACCCACAGTGCTTAATTTTCTTCAAGCAGTTGCTTGTTTTGATGTGTTTTTTCTCAGTTTTGGGTTCTCTCTCATCACCAAGCTTCCCTTGTCTTACACAGAGAGCCAGAGTCTGCTGCTGTCTCCCAGTAGGCTCAAGCGGGTATTAAAGGCCTAGTGCAATTCTATAAGGCTTGGCAGCCAGGGTGTTACTGCTTAGGTAGTTACTGTAACACACAAAAGGCATGTAATGAAATGTAGCATTGAAAACAAGTCAACAAATTTAAATATTGGGGAGGAGTATTGCGCACACACACACACACATAAAACAGGTGGAAGTACAGTCCAAAGGAGAACAATGATAGAATCTATTGACATTATTATTTAGAAAGAGTTGTATGGAGGTGTACTCCTATTAACTCTGACCTAGTTGAGTGAAAAAGTACTTCAATATTAAATGGAAATATAAGGAACATACAGGCTTTAGAAATGACGGTTAAGCTTGTCAATGGCCCACTAGGATAACAACAGAACTTTCCCAGGATGCAACCCACATAGGCTGTTCAACTTCCAGGTACCTACCGTATTTACTGCAATGAAAATGGAGGCATCGCTTGTAAGGTAACATGCCGAAATGTCTGGCCCTGTATGAGAATCAAACCCAAGAGCATTCAGATGTGGGCTACAATGGTGAGGAGAAAAATTTATTGAGGTTAGATGAATGATGCTTGCAATTAGCAAAGTGGTTCATGAGAAATACTGTGAAGTATAATGGTTTAGGCACTTGGGAGGATTTTTCATAGGTTAGCTAATACACTCTTTACCTTGTTTAATGCCACTGTGAAGGATACTTGAGTCTATTCTGGCCATTGGCCTGGAGACAAGCATTTGCCATGCTTGTGTAGCTTCTTCAGGTATTTCTTCCTCTTCATAATTTAGACGCACTCGCTGGAGAGCCACTTCTTGCTGCAGAGCTGTAAAGGTACTTAGGGTAAATTGCAAATTATAATGTATATGTGAAATGCCTTACTAATTCATTATGGACAATTATAATGCCAATAAAAAATACCTATAAATTAGGGGAAACATTATTTTCTAAAACACATTAACTTCTCAAATAATGCAAACGTGGTTATGTGTTGCTAAGCTGTTGTATGACACATAGTACGAGACAATGCTTGAATGGTCCCCAAGTTGTAAATCACTATAAACTATGACCCCTAGAGGATTTTAACCTAGACAGCCTGGGGTCAACTGACTGCCAGCCAGTACTAATACCAGTCCACTATATACTGCCTAAGTTGGAGTGGTATTAGTACTGGGTAGTCAGTGGGGTGACCCCCCTGGCTATCCAGGTTCGAATCCTCGGGGGTCCACAGAGTTTATAGTGATGATACATCATATATATCTTAGTGACAAAAGTTCGCTACAAACAAATGCATTAAAACAAAATTCCTTAGTTCTTTATATACAACAAATTCCTTATATACAACAAATTCCATTATATACACCAAATTCCTTATATACAACAAATCAAATGACAATAATTCATTCATTTTATGTTCACGAAAACAAGCAGCATGTTTCTTTATTTCATTACCGTGTAGAAAATAAGTCAGAATGATGTGGGCTGAAAATTACACACCTAACCCACAAATCTGAAAATAAAGAAATTGACAATGTTTTGAGTCTCATGAACCCAGCAGTTGTCTGTAAAACTTCACTAACTTTTTGGAGGCTTTCCCGGTGAAATGGCGGAATGTCATTTGCTCCCTGCACCTCATGCGAGGGGCTCAGGTTCTGGCTCTGGTCCCCAGTAGACCAAACAGAACTTGTGCAATTGATGTGACGTGTAGAAAAGAGCAATCTCAGCGAGATAGTTACAGGCAGCCACCATGGGGCTCCCCAAGAAAGGGATTGATTGATTGATAAAGATTAAGCAACCCAAGAGGCGGCAAGGGCATGAGTAGCCCCGTAAGTGCCAGAAAGGGTGATAGAGAGTCAATTTATAAGGTAAGAGCGTGAGATGATAGGCAAGAAGGTTAATGAATATAAGTAAAGTAAGAAGTATAGGAATAGGGTTGAAGTATAGGAAAGAGTTGAAATATTGGAAGTATGGGAATAAGGTTAAGGTATAGGAATAAGGAAGAAGTACTGTATAGGAATGTATAGGAATAAGGATGGGAACAAGATAGACATACAAGAATAAGGTAAAATATAATAACAAGGTAGAAGTAAAGGATTATTGTTGAAGCATAATATCAAAGAAAAGTGCAGAAAGCCAAGTGGCAAAGAGAATGATGCGAAATAGCGGCAAAGAGAGAGATAGCAACATAAGAGAAATGAAGGAGAGTCAAGAGGGGCTAAAGCTAAGTCAGATCATGTTTAAGAAGGTTAGAGCATTTAAATATGTACTGAGAAAGGCAAAAGTCAAGAGCAACAAAGCCAGACTAAGATCCACGATGGGCATAAATCCTGACAGTGGTCCAGGATGGACCAAAACATCGTCGACACCTATATTTTCAGATTTGTGGGTTGGGTGTCTAATTGATTACTGTATATCCACTGCTGTATGCAGCATCACTGAATAAATGCATCAACACACTCCAGAAATTACCCAATACATCTTCAGGAGACCAGGTATACATTGCCCCTCATAATTTGTCATTTACAACACAAATATATTTGCACTCCCTCCTTATAAACTGTTTCTTCCTAATCTTGATTCTTGCCATAACTCGTGCACTTTTCACTCTCGTGCACTGTTCTCTCACACACTCATCGTGTCCAATAACCTTTTATCCTTCCTCTACTACTAAAATTCACTTGCATACACTCTCTTTGCCAGTCCGCACGTATTCACTCGTTCAACATGCCTAAACCATACTCCGAGGAATTTAATATTACAGCACAACACTTTAATTGCCTCCTTTAGCATCAAATGTGATATTTTGTTTGGTCATATATAGGTTTTTTCACATTCAGTGCCTTTAATCTTAGCGTTTATTGACTCATGCACTCTATATCTCTCCATAATTATAACATTTTCATTCCTAGTTTGTTTGTTTTCCTAACACACCCACAAGATTCTCAGTGTTCATTTCTTCCATTATAATTCTTAATATTTTCATGTTCATATCAAACCCTCATCGTGCTAGATTAGCAGAGGAAGGAATCAGGTACCATTACCTAGCATCTAAAAATATATTTTATTAACATGGGGCAGAGAACAAACTCTTTCAGATTTTGGATGGTTGACCATTATGCATTAATACATAAAATTAATTGCTTACCTCTTAGACGTTGATTTTCTCTTTCAAATCGAAGGAGAAGAATTTGCTGGAACACAGCCTTCTTCCAAATGATTTTTAATTGTTCCTTGGACCTTTTCTCAACAATAATATTGTCGTTGTTACCATGATGGCTGCGACTTCCCAACTGGCCCAAAGATTCTAGAAGCCAAAAAATTTATTAGCCCGATTTTGTTAGTTAACAGAGAAGAAATACTAGGTGAACTGAGATTAATATGGTAGAGAAAATTCAACAAATAACACAAGCATTGATCACATTGTTATACAGTATCAAGATAATTAATTATATTGCTCTTAAAAAAATGATGTCCAAAGATAACTGGAAACAACTGATGTGGTTGATATTTATGGAAAACAGCACACTGAATACATAGCACAAAATATGGAGTGGAAGATAGAACACAAAAGATCGCTAGTCCTTTTGCACTTTATCTCTGTGTTTTGCTTTTACTGTAAGTGGAATAACAAATCAAGCCAGCAATATAATTACACACCCTTTCTGGTGAGCATCTTACTTGGTTTCTGCAGGTTAAGCACATGAGGGACCAAAACAGTCAATCCTCCAGGTTATGCCATGGCCATTCCAGTTGTGGTTCCAGGCGCTGCTTGCTCGGTGTGCGAACCCGGGGCGTTTTCTGCGACTTCGCCTCTTCTAGCGGGTCTGGCCGGTCCAGTACATGGCTGGTTCAGTCTTCTCCTCCGCTCTTCATATCTGGTCTTTTTGATGAGGGGTTTATCACCATTTGTATGGTGATTAGCTGGCTTCGTTGATGGGGGTCCCACCTGAGAGCTTTGTCTCGGTGACAGTATGTAGTTTCCTGGCATTCTTTCTGCCATTTTCTCTCTTTGTAGATTGTCTTCTATTTCTGATCAGGTTGTCAGAGATGGCACAGCCTCTCCAGCTTGCATTTGGGGTGGATGTCACTTCTGTCATGTTCCATAAGCTTTCTCTTGCGTTCTTTCACCTCCAGCCTGCTCATGCACCGCCCAAGCCGTCCTGGTCCTTGGACAAGGTGCTCTCCTATCTTCCCTCTCCTCGGTTTGTGGTAGCTCCTTCGGTTCAAGTTTGTTTTTCCAAGGCTCTGCTTCTGTTGGCATTGGTTTCTGGGGGTCGGGACAGTGTGCTTCATGTTCTCCTCCGTCGCAGGGGTTTTTGCTCTTATGGTCCTTGTGGTTGCTTTTTCGATTGCAGCCGTCTCCTTCTTTTCTGGCGAAGAACGAGATGGCTGCTTTCTGGAGGGGTCCTTGGGTCATTAATACTTGGTTGGTCAGGCCGGGGGTGCAATTCCTTGGGATAGGAGGGAGTTCTGCCTGTCTTTTCGTTTTTTGTTGCAGCTTTCTTACCATGCGGGGTTTGGGGTGCCTAACCCCGGTCGATGGCAGATAAGGAAAACCCTCAACCAGAGGGGGGGGGGGGGTTTCCAGGGACATTGCTCCCTGCACCTCTCTGAGGGGGGCCAGGTTCTGGCTCGTAGTCCCTGGTAGGTTGAACTCCATCGATTAATGCCCCAGTCTAATGTATCACATATTAGCCCGATAGCCTCACAAAGCCATAGGAGCTCCCCGTAGAAAAGCTAACTGCAATTACTTAGTGTCTGACAGGATTCAGTGCTGGGAGCTACTGAAGGGGCTCTTCCAGAAAACACCTATCTGAGAATGAATGCCACTAAGAAAATAATAAATAATTACAAGGAAAACACAGAAAACATACCAGAATTTTTTGATGGAGAGACGACCCTTTGGAGAATTGCATGCCTGAAGGAGGTGGTGGAGGTGTTATCAGGCTTTCCAGTGCCAGCACTCTCTTCTTCACTTGGACCTCTAGGACTAGGGTAGCCAACTTTCAGGAAACTGAAGAAAAGTGTGTGCAGAACATCAGAGAAACTTGACATTTTGACTTGTGTAGGTAAACTGGATATCAAAATAATATTAACTCGACAACATAAACTTTTCAAGGTTTACTCCTTCAACATGCTGACAAAAGAAGCTGTTATGCAAGCTACATGATAATTTTTTCCTATAAATCTCTCCTCCAAATTCCTCCTCCTGCCACATCCTAGGATACACAGTGAAACAATATATACAATATTTACCAAGTTAGTATTTTTGTCAAATTCTTGGGTTAGGGGGAAATTATTTTATAAAATCTTTTTGTAAGTGTTGTAATGTAAAACAGTTTGCTTGTAGATTATTAAAGAGAATTAAAAACATCAATTATCACTGATAAGTACAAAAATGGAAACTCTTATCACGGTCGTTAAGGATGCCATATACAATAATACCAAATGATCATACAGTCCTCTATAGACTCATATTCATAACTGACAACTCTTAATTAAGTATGTTACATAAATATGTGAAATATTTTATCCTCATCAACTTTATTATATCGTACATATGATGAAATGTTTAATTCAAATGACAAGTAATAAAGACAACAATGACTGGACATCCCCTGACACAGATAATACACCAAACTTCCCACTACATCAACTCTCAGGAAATGTTGAGAAACTGTGTTATTCTAACCCTCCTCTATCTATCTCTCTCTCTCTCGGGG